CTGGTACCGGGAGGCAACTGTCCCCGAGACAGCAGATGGCACTGTCCATGCAACTCGTTACCAGCAACCCGTCACCGGCAACTCGTCACCAGCAACTCGTCACCGGCAACTCGTCACCGGCAACTTGTCACCAGCAACTCGACACTAGCAACTTGTAACCAGCAACTTGTCATTAGTAACTCGACACTAGCAACTTGACACGAGCGCACGAGCAGCTCGTCACCAGCAACTTGAACAAGGTGTTTACTAACCCTCCCCACCCTGGGCAAAATAGACACAAAGGTAAGCAAGTCACTATGAACAAACAGAGCTAAGTTCAAATTTCAAAAGTACAAAAATTCCTGCCGATTGGTGAACACCAAATGCAAGCTTGAGCAAGGCAACAAAACAACAACAACAGTCCCAGACCGCACCAAGACAACAACACACAGTCTCTCAATAAAACTGCACGTTCAAATTGATCTATCGATCTAATTGAACTATCCACAGGGCACGGGCCAGTAGTTTAGCGCGGTTGGCAGGGGATGAGATCGAGGCCCATCTCTCCATAGCCCGGCAGCTGGACGCACATCCCCACCCCCCTCCCCCCTCCCACAGGGCACGGCTGTGGAGCGCGTGGCTCTCGGTTCCCATCTGCGGCGTTGCTCGAGAGCGTCCGCGACGGAGAAATTCCCCTGGCTCCGGATCTGCAGCCGTGAACGTGAAACGCTCCCTAGAAATTAATGCCCCACCGCAGTCGGATTTTTGTTGTTTTGTTGGCGCCGGCTACGGCCGCCGCCGCTGCTGCTTCGCGCCGTCACGTGGCCCAGCTTGGGGGGCTGCGGCGGCGCGTGGCCCATGGCTCACGATCCCGACGGAGGTCGAGAATCGAAAATCCCGGGTCGGAGGATCCACTCATCATCACCATCAATATCATCATCATCACCACCAGCATCGTTCGTCTGGGGTGAATACATTGAAAACCACTTCATGGGAGGTCCGCAGTGATGGTGCGAGAGAGAGAGACTGGCCCCTGACACACTAATGTGGATATTATTACATTTGTCTCAGGGCCATCAAGAGAGATGAACACCACGGAGCCGAGAGAGGCCCGTTGACCATCTCCTTCGTTTCTCCCAATCGCGTTTGTCCTGGAGTAAAGATTGACGCACGGCGCGCAGCGGCAGCGTCATCACCACCGCGTGTGGGAAAATGGACCCCGGAAATGACGTCACAAAGCTTCTTCTGAGGTCGCTGCAATTCCGTGCTTAGCTACGCGTTTTTAAACGCCCCGCAAACGAAGCGATTTAACTCTCCCGAGCTGGAAATTTTCAACGTAAAGTGGTGTTTTACTTTTGTGCAGCCATCGACAACCGGGCCGAGACCATCAACTCGTGACGACCGAGAACCCGGTTTAAACGCGGACAGTTAAAACCTGGATTCCAACCCATGCCCTCGGCATTGCCGGTTCTGGAAATGTAAGTTACATTCTTGACGCGTTGTTATCCCTTCATAATAATAATATGAAAAACAATAGCAAAGTGTTCACTCGCTCTGGATGAGAGAGAGCGACTCAGAGACACGAGGAGGGGGAGGAGGAACCACAGTCCAAGTGTGAAGGCAGCAGCCACTTTCTAAGAAGTCGGTGCTACCAACAATTGCCCAAGCTTTGCGATCCTCTATGAATTCTGATATTTGGGTTCCGGATCACGGATCGAAGCTCACGTCAATCCGAATACGAGCAAGGTGATCGAGGTGATCGAAATGTGCGTGGAGGTGATTGACTTGCCCGGCGCTGCCTGCTCGGCGCTCGGCCTCCGACACATTCCACCCCCGTCAACTCCGCACCACTCTTTCCAAAATAAAATTAATCCACACACGACGTACCGCGCCTCGCGCACGTTGCCGCAAACATTTTTCAAATTCCCAGCACAGCAGCGCCAGCTGTCCGCTGAGAAGTGACCCATGGCGTCTGTGCTGTGGAACACGGGCTGGGAGACGGGGCCGAGGATGCGAGCGAGTGAGCGAGCACATCTCCTGGTGGTGTAGGTGATGGATCTCCTGGTGGTGTGGGTGGTGGATCTCCTGGTGGTGTAGGTGATGGATCTCCTGGTGGTGTAGGTGGTGGATCTCCTGGTGGTGTAGGTGATGGATCTCCTGGTGGTGTAGGTGGTGGATCTCCTGGTGGTGTAGGTGATGCATCTCCTGGTGGTGTAGGTGGTGGATCTCCTGGTGGTGTGGGTGGTGGATCTCCTGTTGGTGTAGGTGGTGGATCTCCTGGTGGTGTGGGTGATGGATCTCCTGGTGGTGTGGGTGATGGATCTCCTGGTGGTGTAGGTGGTGGATCTCCTGGTGGAGTAGGTGATGCATCTCCTGGTGGTGTAGGTGGTGGATCTCCTGGTGGTGTGGGTGGTGGATCTCCTGGTGGTGTAGGTGGTGGATCTCCTGGTGGTGTGGGTGGTGGATCTCCTGGTGGTGTGGATGGTGAATCTCCTGGTGGTGTGGGTGGTGGATCTCCTGGTGGTGTGGGTGGTGGATCTCCTGGTGGTGTGAGTGGTGAATCTCCTGGTGGTGTAGGTGGTGGATCTCCTGGTGGTGTGGGTGATGGATCTCCTGGTGGTGTGGGTGATGGATCTCCTGGTGGTGTGAGTGCTGGATCTCCTGGTGGTGTGAGTGGTGGATCTCCTGGTGGTGTGAGTGGTGGATCTCCTGGTGGTGTAGGTGATGGATCTCCTGGTGGTGTGGGTGGTGGATCTCCTGGTGGTGTGGGTGGTGGATCTCCTGGTGGTGTAGGTGGTGGATCTCCTGGTGGTGTGGGTGATGGATCTCCTGGTGGTGTAGGTGGTGGATCTCCTGGTGGTGTGAGTGGTGGATCTACTGGTGGTGTAAGTGGTGGATCTCCTGGTGGTGTGGGTGGTGGATCTCCTGTTGGTGTGGGAGGTGGATCTCCTGGTGGTGTGGGTGGTGAATCTCCTGGTGGTGTGGGTGGTGGATCTCCTGGTGGCGTGGGTGGTGGATCTCCTGGTGGTGTGAGTGGTGAATCTCCTGGTGGTGTAGGTGGTGGATCTCCTGGTGGTGTGGGTGATGGATCTCCTGGTGGTGTGGGTGATAGATCTCCTGGTGGTGTGAGTGGTGGATCTCCTGGTGGTGTGAGTGGTGGATCTCCTGGTGGTGTGAGTGGTGGTTCTCCTGGTGGTGTAGGTGGTGGATCTCCTGGTGGTGTAGGTGGTGGATCTCCTGGTGGTGTGGGTGGTAGATCTCCTGGTGGTGTGGGTGGTGGATCTCCTGGTGGTGTGAGTGGTGGATCTCCTGGTGGTGTGAGTGGTGGATCTCCTGGTGGTGTGAGTGGTGGATCTCCTGGTGGTGTAGGTGATGGATCTCCTGGTGGTGTGGGTGGTGGATCTCCTGGTGGTGTGAGTGGTGGATCTCCTGGTGGTGTAGGTGGTGGATCTCCTGGTGGTGTGGGTGATGGATCTCCTGGTGGTGTGGGTGATGGATCTCCTGGTGGTGTGAGTGGTGGATCTCCTGGTGGTGTGAGTGGTGGATCTCCTGGTGGTGTGAGTGGTGGATCTCCAGGTGGTGTGGGTGATGAATCTCCTGGTGGTGTGAGTGGTGGATCTCCTGGTGGTGTGAGTGGTGGATCTCCTGGTGGTGTGGGTGGTGGATCTCCTGGTGGTGTGGGTGGTGGATCTCCTGGTGGTGTGAGTGGTGGATCTCCAGGTGGTGTGGGTGATGAATCTCCTGGTGGTGTGAGTGGTGGATCTCCTGGTGGTGTGAGTGGTGGATCTCCTGGTGGTGTGGGTGGTGGATCTCCAGGTGGTGTGGGTGATGAATCTCCTGGTGGTGTGAGTGGTAGATCTCCTGGTAGTGTGGGTGGTGGATCTCCTGGTGGTGTGAGTGGTGGATCTCCTGGTGGTGTGAGTGGTGGATCTCCTGGTGGTGTGAGTGGTGGATCTCCAGGTGGTGTGGGTGGTGGATCTCTTGGTGGTGTGGGTGGTGGATCTCCTGGTGGTGTGGGTGGTGGATCTCCTGTGGTGTGGGTGGTGAATCTCCTGGTGGTGTGGGTGGTGGATCTCCTGTGGTGTGGGTGGTGAATCTCCTGGTGGTCTGGGTGGTGGATCTCCTGGTGGTGTGAGTAGTGGATCTCCTGGTGGTGTGGGTGGTGGATCTCCTGGTGGTGTGGGTGGTGGATCTCCTGGTAGTGTGAGTGGTGGATCTCCTGGTGGTGTGGGTGGTGGATCTCCAGGTGGTGTGGGTGGTGGATCTCCTGGTGGTGTGGGTGGTGGATCTCCTGGTGGTGTGGGTGGTGGATCTCCTGGTGGTGTGGGTGGTGGATCTCCTGGTGGTGTGGGTGGTGGATCTCCTGGTGGTGTGGGTGGTGGATCTCCTGGTGGTGTGGGTGGTGGATCTCCTGGTAGTGTGGGTGGTGGATCTCCTGGTGGTGTGGGTGGTGGATCTCCAGGTGGTGTGGGTGGTGGATCTCCTGGTGGTGTGGGTGGTGGATCTCCTGGTGGTGTGGCTGGTGGATCAAATGGTGGTGTGAGTGGTGGATCTCCTGGTGGTGTGGGTGGTGGATCTCCTGGTGGTGTGGGTGGTGGATCTCCTGGTGGTGTGGGGTGGTGGATCTCCTGGTGGTGTGGGTGGTGGATCTCCTGGTGGTGTGGGTGGTGAATCTCCTGGTGGTGTGGGTGGTGGATCTCCTGGTGGTGTGGGTGGTGGATCACCTGATGGTGTAGGTGGTGGATCTCCTGGTGGTGTGGGTGGTGGATCTCCTGGTGGTGTGGGTGGTGGATCTCCTGGTGGTGTGGGTCATGCAACTCTTGGTGGAACAGATCGTGGACCTCCCGAGTGGTGGAGATGATGGCACCCCTGGTAGTACAGGTGGTGGAACTCATGGTGGCCTCAAGTGATGGACCTCTGTGTGGTGCAGACGATGGAACTAATTAATGTTCACCGTCGACGGTGGGCCTCATGGCGGGGGAGCACCTGGCGGAACACGCGGACGCCCGAGCGTCGCTCACCTTGCACGGCGAGCTCCACCTTCTCGAGGTTGCGCAGGGAGATGCGGATGAGGCTTGAGTTGAGCTGGAGCAGCTCGTGGTGCTCGGGCCACAGCTCGTTGGCGGCGGGGTTGAGCAAGAAGATGCGTGTGTCGCCCGTCGACACCTGGTTGTCGCAGATGCTCGGCTCGCCGAAGCCGCCCACCATCACCTTGCGGCCGCCGTCCATGAGCGCGTTCGGGGACAGGGTCTCGCGGCCCTTGAGGAAGCGCCACACGCGCACCTGGGGACGCACACAAAACAGAGAGTGGCGAGATGTTAACTGCCTCGCCGGGTATGTAGAAGCTCGTTGGTTCGATCCCGACCCCTGATGCCTGCTGTATTTTTGGAGTTTGCGCGTCTCTCTCTCTCTCGCTCTACCAGTGGTCGCGTCGATTTTCTCCGGGTCCTCCGGCTTTTCCCTCCACATTTAGACTCAATGTCACGCGTTTAGAGTATCTGGCCACCATGCATTTCCCACGCGATAAGCCACTTCGCTGAGCTATGATTTGTGAAGCCAGGTTGCTTCTGAAAGAGAGCTGTGTAGCTCAGTGGTGCGCCTTACCTGGTCAAATAAAAACATTTTTTAATTGCTTAGATTACTCGTGGACTCGTCTCTCCGTGCGGAGTGCCCCACTGGAGGTGAGACTCGCGGAGTGACACCGCTCCCCCCTCCGAGGGCGACGCAATCGGTCACCGTGAGCCAGAGCCCTTCCCACCCCTCAAGGTGCCTTGTGCCACCGCCAGCCGCTGACCGCACGCAAACGTCGCTGGCTGCCATCGAGGAGCGTGGGTGAGCAACGACGAACCGGACACCACGGTCCAATAAAATCACACTCGCATGTTTATTTACTTACTTGTCCATGGACCGGCGGGGCCTTCTGAACGTGAAGCATCTCAACAGCCAAGGCTCGGGCGCCACGGTTTATTGCACGTGATAGATGTTGACTCTGTTTATAACAGCGCCAGTGTTATGTCGCCATGTATAGAGCGAGAGTATATTGTGGTAGAGTGTGGGGAGCGGTCGTGCTCACAGTCAACACCGGTGACGATTATCTGCACCGGTCCTGGGCCTCCCCAAGGTCGGCGTCAAATCAGTACCTGGTGTGGTGTGTAAACATCGCCACTAGGGAGACAAAGGCGGCCGAGCATGGTGTTGGCCATCCACCCCTCGTGTGCCGTGCTCGCTAACAGCACTTGCCCCAACAGCCTGTTTGGGGCTGGAGAAGAGATGGACTGATGCGGCACAGAAAGATGTCGAGCTGATTGGGCTCGCAGATGCTTGGTTCTAGTAGTGCACGATCGGCCCCTGTGGAGGAGGCTCGTGAAGGACGCTGCTGCTACTGGGCAGTTGGAGGCAGTCGCCCTCCAACAAGAACGGAGGTCAGAGGAGCGACGCTCACAACAACGAGCGGAGCGCCGGCTGACTAAATCGCAACAAGTTAGCACAATGTGGTGCACAGGTGGTGGGAGCATCTGCCAGTCATCGCAGTCGACCCATGACACCTGGGTCTGTTCCGTGACCTTCCTGTTCAGCCAGCAGCGAGAGCCTTCGACACTTGGCGGCATAGCCCCTTCTTGGTGCACCTAGCCTGGCACAAGCGCCGTGGTTGCGTCACCGCAGTTGAGTGGTTGTTGTTGGTGGTGGTGTGTACGTGTGTGTGTTCCCACACTGGGCTGGCGGGACACTGTACGGAGTTTAGATCCTCCTCCGCTCCGAGCGAAGGTTGCGAGAGCCGCGCATGACGCGGGGATTTTTTTTTTGTTAAAATCCGCGAGTGGCAACTTGGGGTTACTCTTTGGTGCTTTCGGTAAAGTCACGGAGAAAGATAGAGTACGACGTTTCGATTGCAACACAAGCAACCGTCATCAGGTAGAACTAAATTTGAGAGAGACAAAACACAGACACGGAGACGCAGACAGACAAGCAGAGAGAGACACACAGAGACACACAGAGAGAGACACAACACAGAGACACACAGAGACACATAGACACACAACACAGAGACACAACACAGACACACAGAGAGAGACACAACACAGAGACACAGAGAGACACATAACACAGAGACACACAGAGATACATAGACACAACACAGAGACACAGAGAGACACACAACACAGACACACAGAGACAACATAGAGACACACAGACAGACACACAGGCAGAGAGAGACAACACAGAAACACACAGAGAGAGACACGCAACATAGACACAGAGAGAGAGACACACAACACAGACACACAGAGAGAGACACACAACACAGACACACAGAGAGACACACAACACAGACACACAGAGACACACAGAGACAACACAGAGACACACAGACAGACACACAAGCAGAGAGAGACACACAACACAGAAACACACAGAGAGAGACACGCAACATAGACACACAGAGACACAGAGAGAGACAACACAGAGACACACAGAGAGAGACACACACAACATAGACACACAACAGAGACACAGAGAGAGACAACACAGAGACACACAGAGAGACACACAGAGAGAGAGAGACAACACAGAGACACACAGAGAGAGAGACACAACATAGACACACAGAGACACACAACACAGAGACACAGAGAGAGACAACACAGAGACACACAGAGAGACAACACAGAGACACACAGAGAGAGAGACAACACAGAGACACACAGAGAGAGACACACAACACACACACACAGAGACCCAATGCCTCTGTGTAGAGGCCTTAAAACCAAAGAGTAATTCCTGCAGTCACGAAAGCTTCAAATCAACTTGGGGTTGTTAAAAGTCGCTTGGTTTGTGTTTACTACCTGTGACCGCATGGCGGGGGAACAAACCGGTTAATACCGGTTTTGCCCCAACGTATGAAAGAAAGTGTTTAGAAGTAAACATCGGACTGGAGAAATCCGATGAGCTATGAAGCTCTTATGTCACAGACGTCCTAGAGGACATCGCCATTGTCGCCTCTTGAGCCGTGAAACGAATGGAGGAGGTCGCTGCTGCCCCAACAGGGGCGTGACGGAGGCTCGCAGCGCGCCGTGCATCGCAAGTCAGCGGGCGTCGGTTCCATTCGACCTCTCGGCGCGGCAGCTTGAAGAATGAGGCAAGTTTCTTAAACCCACCGCTCTCTCTCTCTCTCTATCTCTCTCTTTCCCGGCAGTTGTTCAATGGGGTACAGCAGAGGCACGGCTGGCCGATCGAGAGGTGGCCTGTGGCGGGGGGGTAAAGTGTGGGTGCTCCCTTCTCTGCCAAGGCGTCTGCTACGCGTGGAAGATTAGGCCAAACGTCACCCTCCACTCGGTGCATTCATCACCAACAATCTACTGAAATCGATTGCCGGGCCCTGCCGTTTTGGATGGATTCTAAAAAAACGGTTACCGGTTTTTGTTGTTGTGTTTGTTTAGCCGATCATCGTTTTGAAGAATCAAACTTCGCGTCGAGGGGGAACGGACGCAGCGGCGTGACCAGGGACGGCTTCCCTCTCATCTCGGAGCGCCACACGGGAGTTTGAATCGGTGGTCGAGTCGTCACCATGACGACAGCCACGTGGTGGGGGGGGGGGGGGGCACGTGGATGTCGTCACCATGACGACATACACGTGGAGGGGGGCCCACGTGTATGTCGTCACCATGACGACAGCCACGTGGTGGGGGGGGGGGGCACGTGGCCTGCACCGCTCACACGCCCTGGCTGCTCTGTGCGCGACCTCTTCGCGATCGACGCTGCAATTTTGTTGCTCCTGCTTGGAAAACAGTTGCGCAATTCGTCAACGTCATCATCATCAGCCATTAATGATCTATACACTGTTGGATGAAGGATTTCCTGCCCCCCCCCCCATCACCGCAAGCTACTGCGATCTCTCACTATCGAGGCTGCGACGCAAGAGCGACCCTGCCAGCGACCGCGCGTGAACGCAACACTCCGCTCCATGTCCGCGGGCTGCACGTCCCCTCTCGGGCGCATTTAGCTCCCGTGGGTGCCACTCCGGAGTCGCCAGCAACCTCCGAGTTCATCAGCGCGACATCCCCTCCTCACGGACGCGTTCCATTCCTTTGGCTGTCACTGGGTTGTTCGTCTCGACCACAGGACCACCACCATCATCACCACCATCACCACCATCATCACCATCATCACCATTCCCCCCTCGTCTAGCCATGACGCGTCCTGCCAAATCCCACTCGAGACAACGTGGTGATGCCTCTTGACGGTCACTGCGTCGCTTTCAGATGCGCTTCCGCGGCCGTCTGGAACGCTCTTCCTTCCCTTGTTAGGAAGCCACTGGGAGATATGCACTTTTAAATCATCATCTAGATTTACAAACTAGTTTCTTTAGAACTACTTTTCAGCTTTTAGTTTGTTGTCCTTCCCCCGCTCCTTCGATCAGCGCGGTTGGCTACGTGCGAAAGAAGTTCGACACCCGTACATACTCAAACCTGTGTGTCTGCGCTCTGGTCTATGGAACACCTGGACAATCTATCTTCCGTGACTGCCGATATCTTAAATAACTAAATAAGCATTGGTGAGGCGATGCAGGTGCAAGGACAGACGCTCGATTGGGCCGTCAAAAACGGAATTGCCGGAAAAATGTTTTGCAATAATTATTATATAAGAACATGCATCTAAAGTCGTTATGGAAGTGTGTCACTTTGCCTGCGGGGAGTGAGATTGGTCTGTCACGCCTCGACAACTTCTCCACGCCGGAGAATTCCACGTTTCCACGGCGATGACGCTCTGAAGAAGGGACCATTGCCCGGAACGTCGCCTATTATATTTAGCAGTGTTCCTTTTAAGGCCACACACGGACACACAGAGCGGCGTTGTCCTTTTGTCAATCCACTGCTGGATGAGGACCTCTCCACGTCGTGCGGGAGGCAGGGGAGGGGGGGTATTTGACCATACTTCGCCACGCTAGTCAGTGCGGCTTGGTGAAGGTGTGGGAGCACGGACAGACCCAGGCCGCGTAGAAGTACAGTACAACTACGGAGTTTTCTGCACCACCCTCTGCTGCCCGCCACGAGGAAGCAAATAAAAAACGTTGCGGCTACGTCGTTCGGCCCCCCACTGCTCGGTCACCGTGCCCCCCACTGCTGGGTCCCCGTGCCCCCCACTGCTGGGTCCCCGTGCCCCCCATTGCTGGGTCCCCGTGCCCCCCACTGCTGGGTCCCCGTGTCCCCCACTGCTGGGTCCCCGTGCCCCCCACTGCTGGGTCCCCGTGCCCCCCACTGCTGGGTCCCCGTGCCTCCCCCCACCAAGATCCCCGCTGTGTCCACGTGAGTCCACGTGTGTGCCCCCCCCCCCCGCGTGTGCGCCCCCCCCCCGTGTGTGTGCCCCCCCCCCCCCCCGCGTGTGCGCCCCCCGCTCCCCCGCATCTCACCATGCCCGCGTAGGTGTGCAGCACGGGGTCCCTGTGGAGGATCTCCTCCACGGTCCCCGTGAGGACCACGTTGGCCGCCTCCTCGCGCTGCTCGAGGGCCGCGTCGCCGCGCACGCAGTCGGCGCTGCCGAGCCAGCGGAGCCGCGCCGCGCGGCTCCCCCCGCCGCCCAGCGCCAGCAGCAGCAGCAGTGGCAAGGGGCACCCCCAGCGGCAGTAGCGGAAAGGCGACATGGTGCCCACACCGTCCACGTCTGCGCGTGTCTCTCTCTCTCTGTGTCCGCGTGCCTCTTGTCCACGTGTCTGTCCGTGTGTCTCCCTGTCTCCGTGTGTCTCCCTGTCTCCGTGTGTCTCCGTGTGTCTCCCTGTCTCCGTGTGTCGTCTCCCTGTCTCCGTGTGCCCGCCCGCGTCTCCGCTCACCCCTCGCCTCTGCACCTGAGCGCTGTCTCCGATAGTACTCCCACCCTACCTGTCCCCGTGTCTCCGCGTTTCGGTCTCACTTGGACTCCCTCTCTCTCTCCCTGCTGTCTCGCGGTGTCCCCCCTGTATGCGTCTCCCTGTCTCCGTCTGCGTCTCCCGCTCCGTCTCCCCGCGTCTCTCGTCGCATCCGCAACTTCCCCCCGCACGCAGTCCCGGGTCTCGGACGCGACTCCTACGCGGAGGGTGGTGCAGGGCGATGCAGGGCGATGCGCGACTTTCTCAACCCGCGACACCAGCGCCTCGCCTGCGAGCGTAGGGGTCCCGTGCGGAGCCCCGGTGGAGCTGGGGAGGGCTGAAGAGGCGGCGGGTTGGGGGAGCCCGCGGTGTCCGCAGCGACTCGAGCTCTCGAGAGCCGAGAGCGGGGACGCGGAGAGTGAAGCGAGGGGCTTCGCTTCATTTGCATAACTTATGCGGCTCTCCAGCGGGCAACGGGCACGCCCCGCTTAGCCTCCTCCTCTCTGTGACCTCTCTCGCTTCTCTCTCTCTCTCGCCTCTCCTGCCGTCTTTGGCCTCTCCCTTCTCTCTCCTCCTCTCTGTGACCTCTCTCGCTTCTCCTTCTGGCAGCGCTCTCTCCCTTCTCTCTCTCTCGCCTCTCCTGCCGTCTTTGGCCTCTCCCTTCTCTCTCCTCCTCTCTGCGCGCACTACCGATCCCTTCTCTCTGTTTCCCTTACCTCCCCCCCCTCCCCCCTCTCTCTCTGCCTTCTGGTCCTCTCTTCGCCTCTTCTTCCTTATCCACGCTCTCTCTCTCTCTCTGTTATTTTCGTGTAAACATAGGTACCCCTACCGCAACTACACACCACAACCACACCTGTAACACACACACACACAGCCACATACTCCCACCATAATCACACCTGTAACACACACACAGCCACATACTCCCACCATAATCACACCTGTAACACACACAGCCACACACTCCCACCATAATCACACCTGTAACACACACAGCCACACACTCCCACCATAATCACACCTGTAACACACACACATCCACACACTCCCACCATAATCACACCTGTAACACACACACACATCCACACACTCCCACCATAATCACACCTGTAACACACACAGCCACACACTCCTACCATAATCACACCTGTAACACACACATCCACACACTCCCACCATAATCACACCTGTAACACACACACACAGCCACACACTCCCACCACAATCACACCTGTAACACACAGCCACACAGTCCCACCATAATCACACCTGTAACATACACACAGCCACATACGCCCACCATAATCACACCTGTAACACACACACAGCCACACACTCCCACCACAATCACACCTGTAACATACACACAGCCACACACTCCCACCATAATCACACCTGTAACACACACACACAGCCACACACTCTCACCATAATCACACCTGTGACACACACACAGCCACACACTCCCACCACAATCACACCTGTAACATACACACAGCCACACACTCCCACCGTAATCACACCTGTAACACACACACAGCCACACACTCTCACCATAATCACACCTGTAACACACACACACACAGCCACACACTCCCACCACAATCACACCTGTGACACACACACAGCCACACACTCCCACCACAATCACACCTGTAACACACATAGCCACACACTCCCACCATAATCACACCTGTAACACACACACAGCCACACACTCCCACCATAATCACACCTGTAACACACACAGCCACACACTCCCCACCATAATCACACCTGTAACACACACACAGCCACGTACTCCCACCATAATCACACCTGTAACGCACACAGCCACACACTCCCACCATAATCACACCTATGACACACACACAGCCACACACTCCCACCATAATCACACCTGTAACACACACACAGCCACACACTCCCCACCATAATCACACCTGTAACACACACACAGGCACACACTCCCACTATAATCACACCTGTAACACACACAGCCACACACTCCCACCATAATCACACCTGTAACACACACAGCCACACACTCCCACCATAATCACACCTGTAACACACACAGCCACACACTCCCACCATAATCACACCTATGACACACACACAGCCACATACTCCCACCATAATCACACCTGTAACACACACACAGCCACACACTCCCACCATAATCACACCTATGACACACACACAGCCACACACTCCCACCATAATCACACCTGTAACACACACAGCCACACACTCCCACCATAATCACACCTATGACACACACACAGCCACACACTCCCACCATAATCACACCTGTAACACACACACAGCCACACACTCCCACCATAATCACACCTATGACACACACACAGCCACACACTCCCACCACAATCACACCTCTAACACACAATCTCAAACCCACACTCTGCTCCACCACAACCATGTTTCCTCGCCTCCCTTGTGCGTATGTTGAACTTCTTTCGCACTCTACGTAGCCAACCGTGCTGTGGGGAAGGACAAGAGGCCTTCACACGACTCGAGTGCATGAACGATGAATGAATTTCTAAGCCATCTGCTCTGTAATCCATTCATTCAGCAGCCCCCGGAATCCATCACCAGCCCCTCCCCCCGCCTGCCCCAAGCGGTCCCCTGCCACTTCTCACCGCTAGGCGGCGCTGCGTCTCACGAGCGATGAGGTGGATCGATTCCGCAACCGATGATTCGTTCCATGAATCGATTACGTTAAAATACTCATTCTGTTGAATGTATCGCCCTCCAGCGGCTGTAGAAGTCACGTGAACCCATTACGTACACGACAATCACCAACGGAACATGGTCGATCCACTGCTGGATAAGCTCTACCCCGAGCCGCCGCACTCATCTCTCACGGCCCTGAGCTTTAACAATGCACCCAGACGTTGTGATCCCGTGCCCCGACTGGACATATGTGAAAGAGCTTTATAGCTCACCGGATTCCTCCTGCAGTAAAACGCCTGATTTTGACGTGCACACGAACCAATTCATCGCTCAATCTCCCTTCCTGGACGTTATTCTCGGACGCGTGCCATGCCTAGGCCGCTGTTCTGTTGTTAGTCTCGACCACGGGACCAGCTGCGTCTCGCCACGCGTCCTGTCAAAGCCCACTCACGTTTCCTAACGCAATTTACTCTACCACGGCCTATATTTAAACTTAACATTGCAGTGGGTATGAAGGGCGAATGGGAAAAAAAAACGCATGTCAGGCCTGTGAAGAGTGCTTGGGAATGTACTAGAACTTTAAACAAGAGCATGTATTTGAAATACCGATGTTTGTTAGGTTCCTTAAAGCGAATCGAGAATAATGTACCGTGCCATTATGGACGGCAAAGTGGCGGTGGCAACACCCTGCGCCTCACAGCACGTTACCGAGTTCGATTACCGACCCGGGTGGCTGTGTGGAACTCAATAAAACTCTCCCTCGATACGCGCGAGTTTATTCCAGTCTCTGCAGTCTTCCCAAGGCCAAAACACGCAATGTCAACTGTGCTCGCCAGACATCTAAACGCTGAAGGTACCTACAAATGACTCGATTGGGCTCACACCGCAGCAACGTCGCTCCCTCACTTCAAGTCTTAGAATTCGAAGGTAGTGGCATTCAAACGAAGGTGGGGATACATTTGGACAGACGACCCATGTGTGGAGGAAACTGGAGCGTTTGAAGTCTGACTGGGGATGCTGGACGTTAACTTCAATCTATCATGAAACAAAATAGACCAGCCTAAAAATTAGGGTTGGTGAATAAATGCGTCGGGCAATTGAACACACCAGGCTGTGCGCGCAAGGAAGGTGTTCCTGTTCTGGTTTATCATTCACGCGTTCCAAGTGCACCTCTCCCAAGGGTAACATTGACGCATCTTTTATTCAATGGGTTTCACGTCTTGCGTGAAAACCGCCAAATGGATTTGGAAAATATATTAAATGCGCCAGCAGACATTTTCGCCATTGAAGGATTCATTAAAAGTGATAGCCATTGCAGTTCAAGTCACCGTACAAAATAATCCAAATTGCCAAAAGTCGGAATGTGATTGGAACAAGTGGAGAATATTTTCTAAGACCGAATACCTTGGGCGGGCTGCACATTAATAGAGCTCAGTCACCTGCAGCAGCTAAGCAGGAGACCCTCAGTGACGGAAGCGACCAAGTACAGCACTAAAGTTAGAAAGTATCGCAAGGTCAAAACCATCCCCCCTATCGTCCTCGATTAGTGTGGCCAAGATGCCTGCAGTGACATGGGGAAATTTTGCAGTTAATACTTTTCCTGTGGCAGGCCTGATGTGCTGCGGGTGGCCTGAAATTAGTTGCAGGCTGTCCATCGACCACCCCATGCAAAGACAATGCCCACGTATGGCAGCACAAGCCAGCAGGTGATGGCAACACGTGGCACCACAACAAGCACTGTGGCGTCATTCCACGGCCGCCCCGTTGATGTGAATTAAGGCCGAGTTGACTTGTGGAGGCCCAGGCCCAACCCTGCTACCACTTGCAACTGACGGCAATATTTCTGGCTTTGCGGCACATTAACCACTGCACATTGTACGTTTAAGTTCTTTTGCACCATACATAGCCAACTGCGCTAAATCGGAGGTGCGGGCAAGGGAAACCATACCGTATGTACGTATAAACACCTTTTGCAACGTGGACAACCTCGCCCGCTCGTGCAATCTCACAAGACGGCCATCTTCGCATTGCGTCAGCTGAAGACCAGGGAATAAGCACACGGCTCCGTCTCAAACTCCACGAGTCATTTTATTGGCATTGTGTGGGCAACAACCGGACAGCGAGCAGAACGAGGGGGGCACGCCCAGTGCTTAGTCCTCTTCGTCCTCCTCCTCCTCGTCCTGGTTGATCTGGAAGTAGCGCAGCTCGTAAGAGACCTTGCTGGCGGCGACCACACGCAGCCAGTCCCGCAGGTTGTTCTTCTTCAGGTACTTCTTCGTCAGGTACTTGAGGTACCTGCCAAGGTGTCAAGGGGAAGGAGGGCGGGGCAGGATTGGGTACGTCACACACGCTGCCGGCGCCAAACAAACACAACGGACAATGCCGTGGACCTCGCGCACCGCGGTCAGCCCATCGTGCACGTCTGGTTGTCAGACTGCTGCGGGGCTGCCCTATGATGTGGGCAAAGGAGGAGGGCAGTGCATCAAAGGTAATTGGATTTAAGCTTCATACGCTCGACGCCTTCACCAACCAATGCGGCGAAGGTCAAATAACCCGCACAGTCACCCGCGTGGCGTGGCCCTCATCTAGTGGTGGAATGACCAAAAATGGCTTCATGTTACATATTTGAGGCAGTGACAGCACAAAGGCTATTGTCACTGGGCAAGGCCAGTGCTCTGAAATGGTATTTGATCCCCATAGAATTAAAACCCTGGGGTTAGACAACAAAATTATTTACATCTCCTCCCAGAGTAATTTAACTAACCAACCTAATTCTGACCCTGTCGGGGGGGGGGGGGGGTAATTTCTGAAGTAATATTGGTATCCTAGGATTCAACAAATATAGTATTCGAAGCCCAGGGTGCGAATGTCCATGGGGGTTTAAGTCGACAGTGCGCGCCCTCACCGCTTGGAGAAGGGGATCTCGGAGGAGACGGTGATCTTGCTCTTGCTGCGCTCCACCGTTACGGCCGAGTGCTCGCTCACTTTGCCCGTCTTGCCGTCCACCTTGATGCGCTCCTTCAGGAACTGCTCCTGTTGCCCGTGACACAGCGCACCATGGGTGCTAGGGAAGAGCACCCTAGACTGGACTAGGGAAGGTGGCCCTAGTCCCACAGCTACGTTCAGTGCCATGCGAATGACCCGCAACACACCAGGCCACCCCGCCACGCCACACCAGGCCACCCTGCAACGCCACACCAGGCCACCCTGCAACGCCACACCAGGCCACCCTGCAACGCCACACCAGGCCACCCCGCCACACCAGGCCACCCTGCACCGCCACACCAGGCCACCCTGCACCGCCACACCAGGCCACTCCGCCACACCAGGCCACTCCGCCACACCAGGCCACTCCGCCACACCAGGCCACACGCAACGCCACACCAGGCCACCCCGCACCGACACACCAGGACACCGGCAACGCCACACCAGGCCACACAAGGCCACCCCGCAACGCCACACCAGGCCACCCCGCCACGCCACACCAGGACACCCCGCCACGCCACACCAGGACACACCGCCACGCCACACCAGGCCACCCCGCCACGCCACACCAGGCCACCCCGCCACGCCAAGGCCACCCCGCACCGACACACCAGGACACCCCGCACCGCCACACCAGGCCACCCCGCCACACCACGCCAGGCCACCCCGCCACACCACGCCAGGCCACCCCGCAACGCCACACCAGGCCACCCCGCCACGCCACACCAGGCCACACGCAACACCACACCAGTCCACCCCGCCACGCCACACCAGGCCACACGCAACGCCACACCAGGCCACTCCAGGCCACTCCGCCACGCCACACCAGGCCACCCAGCAAAGCCACACCCGGCCACCCGCAACGCCACACCAGGCCACCCGCAACGCCACACCACACCAGGACACCCCGCAATGCCACACCAGGCCACCCCGCCACACCAGGCCACACGCAACACCACACCAGTCCACCCCGCCACGCCACACCAGGCCACACGCAATGCCACACCACACCAGGACACCCCGCAATGCCACACCAGGCCACCCCGCCACACCAGGCCACACGCAACGCCACACCACACCAGGACACCCCGCAATGCCACACCACACCAGGCCACACGCAATGCCACACCACACCAGGCCACACGCAATGCCACACCAGGTCACTCGCGACCCTGACAGCTATGACTGCTACGCTCGGAACCCCGACCCCCCAACAAAATTAATCTCCTTACATCATTTTATTGTAATTGTGCTACCAGTGACATTAAACTCTGTGGAACACTCATGGACCACAGGTGACAGAAATAGGTCCAAGATCTCTTCCAATCTCCACTTATCTACAGGTGAGAGATGCTGCACTCTCTCCTGCACTTTGTTATGGATCTGTTCCATCACACATGGAAGGAAATAAAAAAATCACTCTCAGCTGAAATCGGCCCAACTAAATAGAAATCAAATGTAATTGAGTTTTTTCGTGCAGTATTTTTTTTACGAAACCGAGCCCATCAAATCATTACACAACCAGGTTTAATAACTGGCACTGAAATCCCGATTTTTAACCCAGGATTTTAGTGGAGTTTGCTCATTGCTCCGACCCAAACCAATCAACCACCTCAGGAGAAGTGTAATTTAATGTGGAAAGCTTTCAGCAATGTTGAACTCGGCTATGAAAGTGTCTTAAAATGTTACTTAATTTAAATTACAAACATTAATACGTTATTAGGGAGACTAACATTTATAGAAATGACTTTACTTTACTGTTTAGGTAAATATTATGTAATAATGTGAACCTCATTGGGTTTTAATATGTTGTACAAAATTAAGATGTTTTTTCTGCATTAGTTTGTACGAGAAAATGGCATGTTTCCTGCCCCTCTCTCTACCTTTAGTGTAACACAATCTACATGGGGTATGAATCTATGGAATTCATCTTCTGTACGAATATGCAGAATATTCAGTAGCCCACAGCCACTAATCAAGCAGCATGAACCTGTACATTTCAAGTAGTATTAACGTACATATGGTGCGCTTAAGCATCATCAATGAACGTGTACGTTCCGAATGTGTACGATGTAGATGGTGAACGTTCGTGGTTTAACAATAATTCCAATTTGTAACTTGTACAGTATTCAATCACTCTCGAAGAGATCTCAGACGTGGAAGGAACCATTGGCAAGCAGGAAGGCAGCCATGCAATAGCCGGCACAAACAATTAACACAGATCTGCGCTACTCTAAATATGGTGTTATTGGCCAATTAAAGTCTTTTACATGTGGGAGGAAACAGGAATGCCCGGTGAGAATCCATGCGTGCGAGGGGGAAACACTCTATCCCATAGAGATCGAACAGGTGAAGTCCACATTTTTGCTGTCACGCCTTCTCCTGGCGAGCCAGGATCACGATTCCTCCACGCCAATGAGACGGAAGTTTCGCAACATGTGCGATCCTCCAAACCTTGCCCCCACAGTGCTGGATTACAGGCGTGAGCCGCCACCACCACCGGGCTCACGGCTGCCTGCGTGGAGGAGAGCAGCGTTTGGACTTACAAAGTTGGCCGAGTCCATGATGCCATCCTCCACGGGGTGTGTGCAATCCAGCGTAAATTTCAGCACCAGCTTCTTCTTCTTGCCACCCTTGGATTTCTGCACCCCTGGCTTCTTGTGAGAGCGCTGAATCAGAGAGGACCGATCGAGCAAGCACGTTAGGCACGTAATTATGAAAGGCCAAAAATATATTTAAAAAAATCAACCCGTGTTAGGATTTAATCCAAAAGGCCCTTGCATCGACCACAAGACACAATATCAGTTTCCACGTGAACGATTTCATGGCTGCACCGTGGTCCCACGGCGCTTGTTGGAACGCATTTATACCTCGTCAGCTGCGATTTAATCGATTGTTTCATTATTTAGTCGTATAAGGATGGCCCAAGTACTCTCTTCGTGAGGCAGAAAAGAGGGATAAAGTAAAGACTAAACACGATTCAGGGTGCCCGTGCCTCGGTCTTGCCTCGATACTCCGTGAGCCTCGGTGGCACCGGAACCATTTGGCCAGAAAAAAAGGTTCAAAACCACATGGGTAAGCCGACACCACGAACTCGTCAAACTTAACTAGCACTTCTTTGAGTGACCGCACCTCCGATTAGCGCAGTTGGCTTACGTACGGTGCGAGAGAAATTCAACATACTGTACATACAAAAAGTTTCCCTCAACTTAAAATGTCCATAACCAAACTCCGCCAAGTAATTTAAAGCAAACCATCACTCAAGGCGTGGTGTTATACATGCGTAAGCACGGCCCTTAATCCACTGCTGCATCGTGCGGGTTATTCACAAGGCTTCGCCAGACTGGTACCTGGCGGACATAAAAGTACAGCACAATGCGCTGCTGCATTGCCCTCTGCTGCCCTAAAACTTAATACGAAAGCGCGCTATCACAATCCGGTTGTGCGTGGTGGTGGTGTGAGCCTCCATTGAGGCATTAACCATGCGCGAGACCGCCTGATTTAGTCAACGGCCGCGTTGTCAATAAGCGGCTCCCAATTACAAAGCGAAACTCATTCGAAGCCCCACATGGGGGGGACCTCGACGAGCCCCGCCGTCCTCTGACCGCGGAGTGGAGCAACCTCGCCACATCGCGGTGCCACGCGGCCTACAGCCTGGGCCTACCACCCCCACTGGTATCAACCCCTCGAGACGGGTCCCGCCGCCTCGCCCGGCATGCCTGCCCGGTCGCGTGAGGAATACTCTCCGCTGACTGTGCGAGCGAGTGCCGGGAGAGGTGGACGCGGGGAACAGAGAGAGAGAGCCGACGCAAATTCGGGGGACACCGCGGAGCGAGGAGACTTACTGCTGGCGCCATCTTCACCGGAGAGAGAGGGAGAGGGGAGGGGTGAGGGGGGGTTCAGTGCGCATGCGCAGCGATCTGCCCCGGGTGATTTACCCCCTCCCCTCGCATCCACTGGGAATGACATCACGTCACTTGGCGGATGACGTCACGCAGATGAAGTCGGGTGGAATGACGTAATGTTTTAAATTTGGTGGTGATTCTGTTGAGTTGGCAGTGGTGCATAGCACAATTAACAAAATAACTCAGCACCCACTGTTTCAACAACACTGTGTGTGTCTTGAACGATACAAAAAATATATAATAATAGGCGACGTTTTGGGCAATGACCCTTTACAGTAAACTGTTGCTTTTCACAGTGCCATACGAAAGAAGAACAGCACACAGAGATGCCAGAGAGATATGGAGTGTGAACTCAGTTCAGTTAATTTATTAGGTATAGCCCTGTGAGCCATTCGGCTCTTGAATCGGGTGCAACTGCAACAAACAAAAACATGAACAAGGGACGTCTTAAAGTGACTCCGCGCAAACAGAAAAATCCAGGAAAAAACAGCAAAGTCTTCCAGAAAAAGCACCGCGTATCAACGCTGTGTGCAAAAATCCCAGTGGGAAGCAAGTCAAACAATAACAACCATAAGACAATTTAGATTAAAGTTATCAGTATAACTCTGCACTACAACAAACAAATATGGCTAAACCAAAAACGTTTTCGAAATCACCAAAATAAAGTTATAAAAACAATGTACCAGTGATCACAGGAACTGTGATTCAAATTTAACAATAAACCACAGCATTGCAATGGGGATAATTAAAAGGATGAATACTCTTTGGTTCTATTCGGTAAAGTCACGTAGGTAAAAAAATACCGAATAGAGCCAAAGAGTATGGATCCTTGCAGTCACGAAAGCTTCAAATCTAGAAAAGGATGAATGTTAAACATCTAAATCTAATCTAAATAATTGGGCCCAGGAATGCATCACTTAATGAATTAGTTCCCCCCCCCCCACCCGTTCCCCCTTCCCGCGCTCCCTCGAGGTGAGTGAGTGACGTCGCACAGCCTCCACTTCTCGCGAGACTTTGCCTTCGCGTCGCAGCTCAGATAACAACGCCAGAGACTCTTCCGAATCTCGCGAGAGTTGGAGGTTTGGTCGTGTTGAGGCTCAAGTGCTCCCAAGATGGCGGAACGCGGAGGACGTTGAGACGGAGCAGCGGTTAAACAACAACATCAACTACTACCAGCAACAACTACCAGCAACAACAACAACAAACACGTACAGAGCAGCGACAATCAGAAAGAACGTGGAGGTGAGGATAGGATTGACGAGGCGGGGAGAAAGGAGCATCGCGAATTGTGAGAGCGGCGACTAGGCTTGTCAGGTGAGGCCTACCTCAAGGGCCGCGTCACTCAGCGCAACCGCCGACTAAGCTACAACACTCGGCGAAGACCCGGCAACTATGTTGTAAACTTACACACTACCGCGATAAAATACTAATAACAATGCGATAAGTGGCCGCGCGATGCAGCAGTCGTGCTGCGTGAGTCAATGCGAACAACGTTTTTGTGCGAATTGGCATTAACTGTTAAGTAAATAACGTGTGTGCATCGTTATATTAGTTATACGACACATCAATATGACTGTAACAAAATAAATATAAAAACTTACCGAAAGAACCAAAGAGTATAAAAAATGTGTTCCTGGGTAGTAAGTGTTTTCCAATTGCTTATGCCTCAAAAGTACAGAAAATGGCTATTATATTATTGGTTCTTTCGGTAAGTCATGTAGAAGGGGAACAATAAAATAATAAAAATATAAAGCAATAAAATTCTCACGACGTTTCGACTGCAACACAAGCAATCATCAGGTTTGAAAACCACAGCAAGAAAATCTGAAAAAGTTTTTCTTGTGGTTTTCACACCTGATGATGATTGCTTGTGTTGCAGTCGAAACGTCGTGAGAATGTTATTGTTTTATATTTTTATTATTGTATTGTTTCCCTTCGTGACTTTACCGAAAGAACCAAGAATATAAATATCGGCAGTCACGAAAGCTTTAAATCAAAATGGCTATTATTCACCACAAACTTTGCATTTGTGACCAGGACAGTGATATTTAGAAATTTACCTATTTTCAATGAAAAAACGTGCATTTGTGTCACAAAAGCAAAGTTTGTGGGGAATAAGAGCCATTTTCTATACCTTTGAGGCATAAGCAATTAGAAAATAACACTTAATACCCAGGAACAAAAATAGTGTTACATAGTGTAGTCGCGTTTGGTTTGTGTTTAAGATCGTTAACGGTTACATTAGCAGAGGGAAGAAGGCAATGCCGAGGTGCGAAGACATCTTGACCACCGGGAACGTTCAGTGATACGCGTTGGGAGTATTTGACTGCTATAAATTTCCACATGATGATGAGCCAACTTCGTTGAGCCGTCATTTGTGGCCAGGTGGCTTTCTGAAAAAGCGAATAGCTCATTGGGCTTTACCTGGTGAAATAAAAAGTTTAGTAATTTGCTTACCTTTCCTATACGTTGCTCTCCTATCGTGTTTTAGTATTGTAACGTTCTGACCCGCCTCTTCTGGACGTCTGAAAAGGAGCTTCAAATCTCATCGTTTTCCTCCAGTATAAATAATCTTATTCTGATATAGCTCAGAGTTAGTTGTTTGCCCAGATAAAGTATCGATTTCTCAAAGGGTTATTTTGCGATGCAGCCTTGGCTTTCCTGAGCTGTCCTGGCTTCAAATCTGTTTACATTGATGACCTTTTGCGTAACGTGTTATCTGATTACTTTGAGATACGCGAACACAAAATTGCAATCGGTTGACTTTGCGTTATGCTCGCTCACGTGTATTCAAATTATTTTGAGCTCTGGGAGGTAAACATGCAATACAATTACGTTGAGTTGTGCGTGACGTGATGGGGGTAACGATTGAGTTGTGCCGGCTAACACGTAACCTGGTTACCCCGTGCTATATTACCTCATATGATGTCTAATTCTGTTGATGTCTGCGTGTTTTACGTGCGAAATTATGCAGTTGAACCATGCTGGCAGACGTATATTGATTACTTTGAGCAATCATTGTTTGACATATATTTTAATTGATCATTACTAAACTTGCAATATATTTTATTGATTATAATTGCTTTGAGCTTTCGTAATTTTATATTTTCATCAGTCAATATAACATTGTGTATGCATGCATTCTGACTTGCATCTTGATTCACCTGAGCTATGCTTTACATGTAATCTGATTCACTGGAACTAGGCTTGCAATATTAATGAGGTGTTTGGCTTAACTTTATATCTAACTTCATGGAGCTATGCGTGATTATTAAAATATGTTTGGAAATCCGTCATTGACGGTCATAGTGACAACAGAGACCTTACGATCATCAAGTGCCTGATGTGTTGGCTTTGCCACTTGTATTTTGATAATGGTGTGATGGTGAAGCGAGCTACAGTAGTGTTGGTTGCATTTAGCAGCTGCTTCTACCTGTGGTGGTGTTCACGTATACAATCTGCGGGATTTTCCCATGGCGTGGCAGGACCCACACGGAGCCACGTACACCACTTCCAAGATGCCGGCCCTCCTGGAACGACCCAAGATGACCAAGACGATGGCCGTGGCGCTGCACAGGCACATCATGCGCGAACGGGAGCGCAAGCGCCAAGGTGAGTCATCACCCCTCCACCCTCCCACCCACCCCTGCACCCTCCCACCCACCCACCACTGCACCCTTCCACCCACCACTCCTCACCTCAAAAGCTAGAGCCCCGGTGCCTTTCACCAAGTGGCTGACACCAGCACTTGCATGCTTCCTTGTGCCTCCGCACCAATGTACCACTGGTGTCCAGTGCCAGTGCCCATTCCCAGGAACGTGTTGTCTGGTTTTTCAGAGGAAGAGGAGGCTGACAAGATCATGGAGCAGAAGATGAAGGAAGAGCAGCAGAGGCGGCGGAAGAAGGAGGAGGAAGAGCGCATGTCCTTGGAGGAGACCAGAGAGCAGGTATGTGTCTGGCACGAGAGAGAGAGTGGGATGAGAGTTAGCGAATGAGAGGGGGAGTGGGCGTCCTGAAAGAGTGTTAATTCAGCCACAGTCAACTGGACTCGTTGTGGCCTGACCAAATGCATTTAATGCTTAAAAAAATGTGTAAATCCTCCAATGGTATGCTATTGGCATCATGTAATAAGATGAATAATCCATTTAGTTAATCGAGCAGTGCATGCAAGCTTTTGAGCGACTCGCTGAAATGGACATAACTGAACTACTTCTAAGGTCACTAAGTGGCCCTTGGTCCACATAGAGGGCAGCACCTTCATTGCACGCTGATGTGTTAGTTGCATGACTGACAAACTGATCGTTTTCATTTTCAGAGGTGTAATTCAGTCAGATTTAAAGTGTTTTTTTCTTCAGTCGTTGACTGGCCCAAGACCATCAGCTCTCTCCACTTGAGAACCTAGTTTAATATCATGGCTGCTGCCTGAATTGCAACCCAGGTCAAAGCAGTACCAGCTTGGTGTTCTGACCTCTGAGCCGCATGGCCACCTATGCATGTTTTTCATCATCATGCCGTTGTGAGTGGCTGGATAACGTGAATGCCACGTTACACTGCACAGCATGAAACAGCAATGGGTGCATGCCATCACTTATATTTTCACTGACGCATGATATTAGGGGTGCATGAGGCAGCTGCGATCTGTGCAGCAGAGGCATGCAACATGTTACCTTTTATATGACCTCTTATGGATTGCGATAGTATGCTATCAAGTAATTATTTCGTTAAATTTTGGTCGGCAGCTATTAAATCTCAAAGACTGATACGCATGTGTCAGTGTATTAATGACTCGTTAAGCTCATGAAATAAGTATTGAATCGCTTGTGTAAGAATGTTTTTTTTTCGATTCATGTATTTTGGAAGGGATTCACGTGAACTGTTCAGCCACTAGAGGACATTACTATTCACCACAATGTAAAAAATAAATTGATTCCTGAATAAAATCGTGACCTGAATCGCGATGCGGGGAGTAAATTGTTACACCGCTACAACAATGTGAGCTGCCTGTTGTAATGGAGAGACTGACCAGATTTGTGAAACCGCACCTCCACAATGAGACTCACTCCCAAATAG